TCATAGAGGTCATTCTTAAATGTTGTTTATTTTCTGTATGCATTTGTTATAATCAATGGAATAGATTTTATTTAGTCACATTGATCGCACATGCAAAACTTAATAATCATTAGGATCGGTTTCGTGTGTCAAATAGTAATTGTAGATTGAATTACAATTCCAATTTTGACATGATTAGAATTAGTTCAAAATAGTAAATTTTATACTTAAGATAAAAAGAAATATAACTTTGAGTTAGAAGTGAGAATTTAATTCCTTTAAGTTGGAAGTGGTTGTGGTAGCTAGGAGTGAGTACTGGTAGTGATAATGGTGCAAGTGAAGGTTGTCGGATAATGTTCGTGGTGGTGGGAGATGCGCTGCGAGGTGGCAGTAACGGTGGCAACAATGAGGTGGGGATTGTGTTTACGGTGGCAACAATGAGACGTACATCTTACTTCTAACTCAATGTTGATAATGATGGCGGTAACAATTATCCTTTACTTTATTATTGGAAATTTGTTAAGGTTTCATCTCAAAACCAATTGATAATGAGATGAGTAGCCCAACAAATATTTAAATCATTCCCGATAGAATGAGGTACGCGATGTGGAACTAACTTCTCGACGACCAGGCAAAGGGATACCTTTGACTCGTAACTAAATGACATCTTTTGGCCCATAACAACCGAAAATAAGTTGGATTTGACTCTGATATCATGTTAATGTTTCATCTCAAAACCAATTAACAATGAGAGAAGTAGTCCAACGGGTATTTAAACTATTCCCGATATAATGAGGTAGGCGATGTAAGACTAACTTCCTAAGAAGGCTAAGAATTGAAACTTGTTTATATTAGCTATATAGATTATTACATGATGATATTCTTTATTTATTTACACAGTGAATATAACAAATACTAACTCAATTTGTTCGTTTTCATAAAATGTTCAAAGTACTTTTAAGTGATAATTTGATATTCTTTTAATTATGTCATTCGAAATATTAAGCTATATGTATATACAGATAATAGCACAAATTATGAGATAAGTTACAAAAGTAATAAGTTTATGATATGCAAATAACTTTACAAGAACAATATTAATGTGAAATTATTATTCAACTTATATATCTCTTCAAATGTACTAACAATATTTATAATCCTTGCAATCCCAACAATGACAAATATAATTGATGCATCTCCAACGATAATACCCTGAATAAATGCAAAAATTCTCACAATCTTCGTCACCTACACATCCGGGGGTTTCAACTGCTGTGGTTAAACTCAAAAAAATAAAATGAAACAATGTTAGTGGTAGATAATTAATAAATATATGAACGGTAATGGTAGAAAGTAAAAAAGTAAGTATGAAAAGGTGTACTAACTAGAGGATAAACGCATAAAAAGGATGAAGAAGAAGAACCCAAGGGCATAAACAAACTTGAGATTTTTAGCCATAGTTTTTCTTACCCACTTGTGAGCAACTAGAATTTGCTTAATCATTTTATAATATACATAGAAGTTGTATTATATTAAGAGGACAAATAGTTTGTAGCACTTCTTTTATTGTAAATACCTTTCACTAGTATTGAAAGCATTACTTATATCATAATTAGTCATGTTTGTCCATTAAATCACTTGAGTGATCACTTGACTGTAGTAATTGAATGTAAGGAGACAATATTTGTATAATGATTTATAAATGTTGCCGAAACCATGTTTAAAGTATAATTGTTTAATTTGAAAATATTATTTTTACACAAAAATTACAAGTGCTTCATTATAATCAAATATTACACTATTGGTTAAAAGAAGAAAGAAAATTAAAATACCAAAGTTTAATCTTACTTGAGGCCTTTAGCCATAATTTTACTTATCAACTTATATCAAAGTAGAAATGGTAGTCAAATATTATTTAATAGTCAACTCAACCTATTCTTAGCCGAACTTATTTTGCAAGTTACCCTTTCCTTGTACTAAAATCATTATATGTCCCATGTATATATTAGAAGGTCATTTGTATGTCCCACATATATATTAGAAGGTCATTTGTATGTCCCACATATATATTAGAAGGTCATTTGTATGTCCCACATATATATTAGAAGGTCATTATATGTCCCATGTACTAAAATCATTATAACTATTAAGTTTGGCAAAAGCAAGCACAAGAAAGAGGTTAATTGTGTTAAGTTTTTAGAAAATTCAGTTTAATACAAAAAAATTAGAAGCAATTATATGATTAAATATACAATTAAGGAAAATATCAATTGTTTCGAAAATATCAACTTACAACAAATTCAGTTTCCCACAGTTAAAAATAAACGAAAGCAATAAACTGTAAGGAATATATACAGACGAACGTGTGCAACATATATGAAAAATTAAAATAATTCATAACAACATCTATATCTATACTATATATACTATATATATATACTATATATATATACTATATATATATACTATATATATATACTATATATAAAGTCAAAATATGAAATAACTACCTCTATGGTGTAATTTCATTTTCCTATTTTGCCCTTATATTTTTTAATTTCTACAAACAAAACATATAATCCTAAGTAACTACCATTAGCACATTAATCACCTCTCACCTTAAATTGAATTATAATAAATACAATTTTTAAAATAAAGTATTCTTAATACAAAAACATTCTAATTGTATAAAATAAAATATATAAAAATTAAATACTTAATACAATAAAATATGAATGCGGGTCGGTAGACACGAAGTGTCTGTCGAAACGCTAGTTTATAAAAATATAAAACATTAATGTCAAAATCACAAAATTTGAATATATCTAATGAATCAAATTATATACTTCATAATTAATCTCTATTATTTAATCAACTCGTTGTCAATATTGTTGAACACTTTCTCACTCAATATATGTCAATGGATCATCTTTATCTTTTCATCTCACATTCAATTACGCAATATATATTTTTTAAATCTTCATAGTTGAAAGGGCTCTTTCTATAGTTGTTGTGACAACACATAAAATCATTGCTAACTTCAAAAGAAAATAAACTATTGGGTAAATAATATGTTTTCCACTTGCAACCAACTTATCTAAAATATTATTGATTATTTTCAAAGAAGGAAATTCAACACCGGTACGCATATCGATGATGTAAGTCTCAAGTTGATTATCCTACATCACCAAATCAGTTGAACTAAAATTTCGTATGTAAGTCTCAAGTTGATTATCCTATATCACCAAATCAGTTGAACTAAAATTTCGTAGAAAAACTTTGCAAATTCAATTAGGTTTGTCATATCAAAACTAGAGAACAAATTGACTAGAATCAAAGAAGACATAGGAAGAAGTAACTGAGTATTTGTTTTCGAGAAATGATCATTAAGTTCCTCAAGTTGTATTTCCATAATAGTATAAAATAATTCAACATGACAATGATTATTTATTTTCCATGAAGCATGTCATGTTTTTTGAAGAATTATACATGGTATACATATTTTTTTGAACAAAATTCAGGGTGTGCATTCGTGAGGTTCATGTAGCACCATCCTTGTTTATACCAAATCACTCTCAATAGTTACAGTTAGATGATCGTTGAGCCTCGATACCGAGAAGGAAGTTATTGGATGAAACCATTGTGTATCGAGCCTTGTCCTCCTTACCATTAAATATATTCGATTCAACATATTAAAGTTCTTCTTTCTTTAACTATCTATGTCTTTTCTCTTTGGTCATTAACTTCAGACTTTAATGAGACTTTATGCATATTTTCCATATGATTCTAAATAACAAGTTACTTGAAACATACTAATAAGTTATCTGACTAATAAAAAACATTAGCCGATTACTACATTGGGTAATCAATTACTCAATTGGACAATAAGTCCAGTAATCGATTACCACGATACACTAACAAATTATTGTGTTGTTTCAAATTTGAATCTCAACCATCACATACCCATACGAACCATTACCCCCCTGAAACATTTTTTTACCTCATGAAGTGGAACTTTGAACCCATCTAATCTCTATAATTACCATCCTTAATTTATGAAATGAAACACATATTATCATAATAGTTTGACACAAATTCACACAATTTTTTAATAAATCTTTCTAATTTTTTTTTCCAGAAAAACTCTTAAGAATTTTATGCACTTTCCAAGTTTCAGAAAAGCCAAGAGAAAAATATGATATAAAGTTTAAATGTTAGATTGCGTGTAGTGATCCTTAGCCTTCTGAAAAGGTCTTCTTCTACTTCACAAAAATAAAGATCACCATAAGGTTGGGTGAGTGTGTATGTGTATGTAAACAAGAAAGTGATGTGCTTTCTTAAAGGGATTTGAGTATTCTAAGAAATTCAAATTGATATAGTGGAAATCCCTTGAATCAATTAAAAGGGACTAGATGTAGCCTTTAATTGAAGAAGATTAATCAATATATCATTGTTTAATTCTTTCTAACTCTTTGTGTTTAAAATTTTGCAACTTATGTTCGTCATAAATTGCTTATGTTGACATTCTTATTTGATGTTTTAAAACAATAATTTTTCTATGCCTAATTGACCCTCCTCTTATATTGATATATTGTGTTTACATTTTGCACTATACAAAAGTTTGGATAATATATTCCTATATCATAGTTAAAAATAAACATAGATGTCAAACCTTTTGTAGGCTAAAGTTTAACATAAACCATCACTACCACAATTTAGGCCTACGACAATGCTTCCACCTTCAACGGTTTTAAAACTGTTGCCATAAAGTATAATAGACCACGGTTTTGAAACTGTTGTCTATTCATTGTATTAGATCACAGTTTTAACATTGTTGTTGCAGTTGCTCTAAAAACCGTGACCTATTTATACTTTAGGTCCACAGTTTTAAAACCGTGACCTATTTATACTTTAAGGTCACGGTTTTAAAACCGTTGCCTATTTATTGTATTGAACTACGGTTTTTATATTGTTGTCATAGTTGTTCTAAAAACCATAACCTATTATACTTTAAAACCACAGTTTTGGACCATTGTTTATTCATTATATTAGACCAAAATTAATAAAAACTAAAACAGTTCTCTATTCACTTCAGTCATTTTAATAGGAAAACCATTCTCTATTCACTTTAGCCATTTTAATAAAATACATCATTAAAACCGTTCTCTATTCTTATTCTTAGTCATTTGAATAAATAAAAAAAGTAGAGAATGAAACTATTCTCATTGTATTCTTTCTATGGAAACCCTTGATATCCAAACGAAGTAGAATCGAAGAAATAGCAGAGAGACCGCTGAAAGAGAAACCAACTTCTTCTTCTCTCTTCGCTCCAACTTTTCATTTCTCCACTCAGTTTTGTTTACAATTTAATTTTGGTATTCTAAACAGAGGTAACCAGCTAACTTCTAAACCCTAAATCAAAATATGAAAACCGCATAATGCTCTGATTAAAATAAATGATTTCTTCTGTTCATTTGGTATTCGATCTCATGTGTGTTCTTTGTACTTTTTCAATTTGTGGTTTTCTATTATCTCAATGCTTAGTTGTTGACCATAACCTGTTTGATTAAATGCTAGTGTTTTAGTTTACTATCTTAACTTACTTCATTGCTCGTAAACGGTTTCAATTCATTGTAAACTATATTCTTATTCTAACATGAGATTATCTCTAATCATAAAATAAGCTAACAGTGAACTATGGTGGCCTGCAACATTTGTGGTTTTGCATACCAGAGTGGAGGTATATATGTACCTAAGTTTTAAGTGTTTTTTTTATATCAATATACCATATGATTATTTCCACATTGTTATAAGTTCAACTTTCATAGAGAAGTAATGGGTAAGAATCAGAGTAGAATGTGAATATGGAAATATATCTGAGGAAATTGGAAAATTTGAAATAAGCTTGGAAGGATACAATTTTACATACTCATGGTGAGTGATTCTTAGTGCATTTTTTATTGAGGATTCTCAACATTTTAGTTAATTGTTCCTAAGAATATAAACATTACGTCCATTTCTCCATTTTAGTAATACATTCTAGTGAAAGCTTTTCATTGCATTCCTAAGATACTTACTAGCCACAATAGCACAATGTTAGATAGATTAATAGCTGCAATGTAATTCTGTTTATGCCTTCCTTATTTTTCAAAATTGATGCAATGTAGGTACAAAGTTTAGGTGATTGAGTTGCTTTGAATCCTTCTTTAAAGGTGTGCAATAGGTAAGAGAACTATCTTCCCCTTTCCATAGTTTGTTCTGTTTGTTCTGATTACTCTGTTAGTATCAATTTGAAAATTTATATCAGATGAAATAGATTCATTCAAATTTCTTCAAAGTTATCAATTTGATAAATTTCTTCATATTTTGTTCTGTTTTTGTGCACCTTGTGATGGAGTTGTGTGCAGGGAGTGAACTTTTTGATAGGATTCTGTGTTTGTGCACTCATACATATGTTGAATTTGTTTCATAAAAATATTTGGTAAGTATTTAGTGGTCAATTGAAGAACGTTGATGATAATTTAATGAAGTTATATTGCATGATACGGAATTGTGGTTTGATTGGTATGGTTTGTTCCCTTGCTTAGTCATCACTGTTGGAGATAGGTGTTCATATATAGAAATATAATTATATGATTGTAATCAATACATTGTTGTTTGGATTGCTAGAATTGCCTGTTTATTAATTTGGTTGTTGGATTCTGTGTTTTATATCAATCAATGTACTTGTTAGGTGTTATTATAAAGCATTATGTTTCATGCCATCTGTACCAATGGGTTCTCTGTACATTCTTATATTCGTGGGATTCTGTCATCTGCATATAAGTAAGGCTGAGGTGCACATATAACATAAAAATTGGTAGCTATGAAAGGTGAGACGTTTATTTGAAAGTGTCTCTGGCTAGGTGATGTCTTCTATGAAATTTTACTTTTGTCATCCCTTAATGTGTTATTCATTCCTAAAGGCAGCTTTTGTCCATAAAATGTCATGCTCAAGACTTTCTATTGAGAGTTCATGTAGTGGTTGATTCTGCAGGGATATTTTCTGTGGCTATGAGCCTGTGACATATAGTGCTATGAGCCTGTGACATATAGTGCTATGAGCCAATTTTCTGTGGTTACCTTATAACTTCTATTATATAGATAGATGATCTCGATATTGAAATTTTATTTTACGGATCGTCACTTGGCTAAAGTTTAGAAAAATATATGCTCATATTTTTTTTTCTTTTACAGTTTGTCACATTTCAACTATACAATTTCTGCCAATGAGATGATCATTTTAAGTATGGTTTTTTTGCAGTGTTTTCAGCATAAAATCTTTTGGATTAAACAAGATGTTGGTTGCTTAGCTGAAGAAAATACAGGATATGAGAATTCTTCCAGAAGTGAGCCAAAGCGTAGTGATCAATGGTTTATGGATACAGGTAGCCAAAAATGTTTTGCAACAAGAAGCAAGTAGTTGAAGCTGTTAGTGACAGACCAAGATTTCACTTGTCACGGGGTTGTTGAGGCATGCCACTCTCTTGGTGTTATTCATAGAGATCTCAGGCCTGAGAATTTCTATGTAGAAGATGTAATTTTGTTAAATCCTAGTAGAGTGCTCTGTATAGTGTTGCTTGTTACTTTCAAGAACATAAGTCTGTATTTTGGTTCACCAAATTTGAAGTATCTAATACTCATGTTTTAAAGCAATTAATGTTATTAATATTCATTAAAAAAATTATTCATATTTCTTATTATTTATTGCTCTCATAGAATTATCGAAAAACAATGATTTTCTTAAAATTAAAATTTTAAATAAACAAATTTATTTACAAAATTGGACACAAGACTAAAGACAACGGTTTTTTATCTTTGTAGACAATAACCACGGTTTACATGGTGTTCCCTATAAACATAAATGACCACGATTTTTAAACTATTGCCTTTGTACACAACGGCAACTGTTTCATAATTGTTGCCTATGAACACAACGGCAACGATTTCATAACCGTTGCCTATGAACACAACGACAACGATTTTTAGCTTTACTTTTAGACCACAGTTCTTAACCGTTGTTGTTAACGTTGAAGAAAAACTGTTGTCTATTTAAATATTAGACAACGGTTTTAAAAGGGTGTTGCCAAAAGTCAAAAAACCGTGGCCTAAACTTAAGGCAACGCCTCAGACTACTACAGTTAAAAAACTGTTGCCTTTGGCAAAGACAACTGTTTTTTGATTTTTGGTCACGGTTTTCAGCCGTTGCCATAGGTCAAAAATGTTGTAGTGCATCTCCAAGTTTTGTTGGAGAGTGCTATGATTATTGGAAAAGCAGAATGAGAATCTTCATAAAGTCTTATGATTTAGGCATCTGGAATGCTATAGAATAAGGAAGTATAGTTGTTGATGGGGCCAAAAAGCCTAAGCCTAAGGAAGTATAGAATGATGATGATATGAAAAGAGTCAAGTATGATCTTCAAGTCAAAATCATCTTGACATCTATAGTAGGGATAGATGATTTTTTCAATGTCAAATTTCAAGTCAGCAAAAGAAATGTGGGAATATAAGAAGTTAAAATATCTAGGCTAAATACTCTCTCACAAGAGTATGAAATGTTTAGGATGAAAACATGAGAGAAAATGCTAGACCTACAAAAGAGATTAGCACACTTAACAAACCATTTGATTTCCCATGGAAAAGTAATTTCAAATAGTGTCTTGAACCTAAAGACTCTTAGATTACTAACAAGAGCATAACAACAAAAAGTGACAGCAATTTTTGAAAAGAAAAACATGTAAAAAATGTCATTAGCTTCACTATTTAGAAAATTGCTCGAACAAGAATAGAAATTAAGCGAATCGAAGCAACGCAAAGAATTGAAAAAAGAGTGCAAAACTATTTCCCTAATACCTAGAGTGGATTCTTGTGAAACTTCACAATACAAAGAGTTAAATGATGACAACATTGAGAATATGAATCTTCCTATAAAGAAGTTAAGTAATTTAATAAGGGACAACAACAAGGCCATGAAATTTGATCTATTTAAAAGGTTACTGAAGAGCAACAAAACATCAACGACAAGATAAAAGTTCACATGCTTTGAATGTGTGAAACGTTGAAATTTAAAGTCGATTGTCCTTCCTTAAAAAATAAAAATACATTCAAAGGGAAGATAGACAAGAAATCAAAAGAGCATGCATAACATGAGAGGACAATGATGTGAGTTCAAATCCAGAACTAGAAATTGAGGAAAAAACAGTCTTTCCCTTGTTGGCCTCACACCAATTTGATGATAATGAGTTTAGTGATTTGAACTAAATGATAAACCCTCTTATAATTTGTTTAAAAATGCTTTAATAAACTTCATAAAAAGTCTATTAAGCGGTCTATATTATGCATGAAATGGTAAAATACAATAGATATTGTTGAGAGTCAAAAAATATGTTTTTAACAGTTAATTACACTGACACCCCCTGAACTTTAGTGAAATTATACAAACCACTCATCATTTTTTGTCCTTACATGAACCACTCATCTCTCTTACACAAATCACCCCTAATTTTATACATATATTACACTAACAACCCCTGATGAGATATAAGTGTAATATTTTAAACAAAAAATGTGTGGTCAGTGTAATTAAGTTAAACAAAATATTATATATTATGTAGACAATTCCAAATAGGACAAAACTGTGTGCCTTTTTATTATTTTTGTTTCATTACACAATATATTAACAATTCTAATGTGATGTTTATATAATCTTTATACTATTTTGTAATGAACCAAATAATGAATATGCATTGACTCTTATATTATTTGGATTTGTTTACATAATATACAATATTTTTTTAAACTTAATTACACACATCACATGTTTTTTGTTTAAAATATTTAACTTATATCTCATCAGGGGTGATGAGTGTAATATATATACAAAATTAGGGGTGATTCGTATAAGGACAAAAAAGGAATGTGTGATTTGTATAATTTCACAAAAACTCAGGAGGAAACTCAGGAGGTGTCAGTGTAATTAACTCTTTTTTTAAAGGCATTAAAATCCAAGTCGAAGGATGATTGCTCAAAATGTCAAAAGTGCACTACCCTTCAATTGAAAATTAATAGTTTAAATAAAGATTTAAGTAACTTCTAAAGGAGTACACACGAGTTATACAACTTGTTGAGCAATCAAAGGCAAACAAATGACCGTAGCAAATTATTAGGCTACTTCAATAAAGGTTAAAAAAGTGGGGTTAAGAAAACTATTTTTATAAAATCAAGTAATCCTGGTATACATAATCATGATAGAAATATATATAACAAAAACACTTTTTATGTCCATTTGAAGATGCATTGTAACATTGTAGGACATATACCTAATACTTGCTATAATAGAAATTTTGGTATACAAAGGACACACACCTGAAGTATAATTTACTATGTATAAGTCAATTATGTGATTAAAGCATTAATGTGGTTTGGAAGCTAACAGTTGTGTATCTCTTTAGATGATTTATCATTGAAAGTTAAATGTCTTGTATGAGAACGCAAACATGCATTATCACATTGGAGAGATGGAAATGAAACATGCATCATTATATTGTTTTGATGAAGACAAAGAAAAGTCAAAGAGAAGACAAGGATAAGACAACATCAAAGCAAAGTTGATAAGCAAGCTTGAAGACATGTTCAACTCAACAAACAACAAGGTCAAGATTCAACATCATTCAAGTAGACTTAGGTTAAGATTTTTACATTTCTAGAGCGTTTGATTGGGTAGAGTCTAGGCTAGGTGAACCTAGAATAGAAGTCTCACAAAGTCTATTATTGAGTCTAACTAAAATGAGACTTGGATACATTCATACATGATTCACATGCTCATGCATTTACATATGATAACATGAGTTTAGTGCATCAAATGAATTTTACTCATATATCATCGAAGTCATGTATCATGCATATACAAATCATGTAGGAGGTTCATCATGCATCAAGAAAACACTTTTTAATACAGTTCATCGATTACAAATTGTGTTAATCGATTAAATGAACATGGGAACCCATTAATCAATTAAGTATGGGATTAATCAATTAAATGAAGTTACAGTAGCTGAAATATTGGATTTCTTAGGATAGTTAATCATTTAAGTTGTAGGTTAATCGATTAAGTCCAACTGAAAACAGTTTTGTATAAAAGCTAATTTTTTCCCATGTGTTCACAAGTTAGTCATATTGAAAATTCACAAGTTTGTTGATTTCTCTGAACTTAACTTTCATATCATTTGAGCATTTTTTTGTTGTGAGAAAAATTTGTTAGTGTATTTGTTTCATAAGAGAGATATAGGATAGTTGAGGATTATCCTTTGTGCTTAAACTTTAACATTTATTTTGGAAAACCAAGCTTAATCACACATAGTTTCTTTGAGTCTTTGTGAGATTTCTAGGCTGGGTTTTTAGCTCTTTTACTGTTTGTATATCCACACACTTTAGGTGCATTGTAACTTGGATAGTTGACGATGTGGTAAGAAATCCTATTTGCGGTTAAGTTGTCGTCTTCACCTATACCGGTAGGGGGTGATCATCAGCTGGGGCTATACAGTGAGTAGGTGAGGATTATCCGAAAGAGGCGGGTTGAAGGTCAAACCGAAGTGAGAGACTCTAGGCCAAGAAGGGAGCGTTTGTGAATTTAATTTGAATGATTGTTTAGTAAAAACGTTATTCAAATAGTGAAGAAAATCTCCCGAGATCAGAAGGGAAGGGCTGGATGTAGTTTGCAAGTGGACCCGCAAACCAGGATAAAAGATCATTGTCTCAATTTTCTTGATCACTTATCTCTTTACATTTCAATTGTTTTATGCTTTAAATTTTTTACTTGATTTACTTAGTGAGTTTAGTGCATGTTTTGTTTCTGTTAAACATATTGGCATAAATTCTTTAAGTTGATTGCATCTGTTATTGATTGAAAATGATGCATCTTTTCGCGCATTAAAACTTTTTTTCAAAGATCGTAAGGATCAGGTTAATCAATTAAACTTGTTGTTAATCGATTAATCACAGAACTAATTAATCGATTAAGAGAAGAAATAATCAATTAAACATTGAATATTTCATAATATATATGTCATTTGTTGTAAAAAAAATTAATTTGCTTCCGCTCACACATATTCACCCCTTTTAGGTGTTATTTATTTTGTGGTATACCCAACATTGTAATCAATAATGATGATGTATGGTTATGGCATAGGAGAATAGCTCATATGCATATTGATCATTTGAATAAACTAATCAAACATAAACTAGTAGTTGGTTTGCCTAAGCTAAAATTTGTTAAAGACAAATTATGTGATGCATGTCAAAAGGGCAAATAAACTAAAGATTCTTTCAAACCTAATCATATAGTTTCCACTACTAGACCACTACCATTATTGCATATGAATTTGTTTGGTCCATCTAGGACTAATAGTTTTTTTGTGGAAATTATTATTCTTTAGTGATAGTTGTTGATTTTTCAAGATTCACTTGGACTCTATTTTTACTACATAAAAATGATGTATTCCACTCTTATAGAAAACATGCAAAATGTGTCCAAAAATAAAAATCTCTGAAAATTTCTTTTATTAAAAGTGATAATGGAGGAGAAAGGAAAAATAGGTCATTGGAAGATCTGGCTAGAATAATGCTAAACGAAACCATTCTGCCTAAATACTTTTGGGCTGATGCGATTAGAACTACTAGTTATGTCTCTAGTAGTATTTTAATTAGCCCTATTTTAAAGAAAACCCCCTATTATCATTATAAAGGAAGAAAATCTAATATTGCTCACTTGCATGTATTTGTATGTAAATGTTTTGTTCTTAATAATGTAAAAGACATTCTTGGTAAATTTGATGCTAAATCTCATAAAGGAATCTATGCATATTTCTTTTCATGAGACTAACCTCTCTAAGGAGGAAAGAGTTGTTATTCTTGATGAAGATGAAAGAAATTTAACAAGTACATCACATAATAATGTTTAAATTGAATAATAATACAATGATTTTGAGCAAGTGAACATAACGATTTTTGGACCAGACTGCGACCGGGGAGCATCCAACCACCGGGGAGTTCCATTGTTACCGGGGTATGGGAAGAGTGCAGAGCCACAAGTGATGCACCATATGTAACGACCCGATTTTCTACCCTTGAAAATTTTTCGTTTATTTTAATCATTTCTTACATATAGTCGTCACATTCATTGAAAACTCTCAAGTATCATTTTCGAAAATACTCTTTACCCTATTTTCTTATCATACAAATTTATGTTGCGGAAAAACATAATTCATTCAAATAGCATTTACCACATACAACCAGTTATGGGTCTCCTAAGGTTATAAAGCCCATAACTACACATATTCGTATTGATCTAACCGGATTTACAGTCATCCCATAATACTATTAAATCAACTACAACGTTACTTAGCAATACAGACAAACGAGTAATTAAACACAAAAGCTTCCTAATTGAGCTTCATCCTCAGAATCCTTCATTTACCTACAATGAGATTATCATAAACGACACACAAAACAAAAGGGAGTAAGTCATTAGTTTAAAAACTAACATCACATGATAATCCACATTTCAAATACGATTAAACTTTAATATAAATTATAAACGCAATTACGTAAATGCAAACATTCATCTCTTCTTTCGTTCATTTCTACATTATCCATATTCATCCTATAGAATACATATCCCATAATATATATTCTATAGCATGCATATTATGTTCATTCGAAGCATCGTTCTTCTCATTATTCATATCCACACTATAGTATATATATATCCCATACTATATATCTTATAGCATGTATATTACTTTTATCCTTAACGTCTTCATTTCCAACATTCATATTCACCCTATAGTATATATATCCCATAATATATATCCTATAGCATGCATATGACTTTCGCTCTTAACGTCCTTGTTTCTCATATGTCGTATTCATCATTAATCGTATTCACCGAGTTCTTTCACACTATAATCTCCTACCACCTCGGGTAGATCCAATTACATCTCCATACCACATCGGGTAGGTCTAGTTCACCATCCATACCACATCGGGCAGGTCTAGTTCATCATCCATACCACATCGGGCAGGTCTAGTTCATCATCCATACCACATCGGGCAGGTCTAGTTCATCATCCATACCACATCGGGCAGGTCTAGTTCATCATCCATACCACATCGGGCAGGTCTAGTTCATCATCCATACCACATCGGGTAGGTCTAGTTATACTCCATACCACATCGGGCAGGTCTAGTTATACTCCATACCACATCGGGCAGGTCTAGTTATACTCCATACCACATCGGGTAGGTCTAGTATTATATTCCATACCACATCGGGTAGGTCTAGTGTTATGCTCCATACCACATCGGGTAGGTCTAGTGTTATACTCCATACCACATCGGGTAGGTCTAGTGTTATACTCCATACCACATCGGGTAGGTCTAGTATTATATTCCATACCACATCGGGTAGGTCTAGTGTTATGCTCCATACCACATCGGGTAGGTCTAGTGTTATACTCCATACCACATCGGGTAGGTCTAGTTATACTCCATACCACATCGGGTAGGTCTAGTATTATATTCCATACCACATCGAGTAGGTCTAGTGTTATGCTCCATACCACATCGGGTAGGTCTAGTGTTATACTCCATACCACATCAGGTAGGTCTAGTTATACTCCATACCACATCGGGTAGGTCTAGTATTATATTCCATACCACATCGGGTAGGACACAACAAACAGTTCACTACCACTCCGAGTAGGACACAATAACAGTCAACCACTACCTCTTCGAGTAGGGTAACAACAATAAACCACTCCCTACTCGGGTAGGGTAACAACAATCAAACTTACAACACATTACCTTTTTCACATACCTCGTTCACATCAGTGAGTATGAATCAGAGCCACTTATCCCTTACCTTGGTGAGTGTTGGGGATCGGTTCCGAGTAACTTTAAAAGTCTCCTCCGCGATTTCCTCCAACCTTAGGATCTTTCCTCATTTCCACCAATAACAACAATGTTAGTCATTTATTCCAAATATCACATAAACAACTTACTTTGCATCATTTAATCATACAAAATATTCATCATCAATATTCCACCATCTAAAACATGCATAACATCTCATATTTCAATATTTCCAAAACTACTTCAATACAAGTTTCTAAATATCAAAGCATACATGTTCATCTCATATAACAACATCAAAACACTACTCATTATCCACATCTAACATTTCATCTCTTTCTCTTTATACTCGTATTCTCATTTTGGGGGGTTTTTGGGGGGTTTTTCATGAATAACCCATAAAACTTTCCATTCATCAAATACCAACTCTAAACCATGAGTTTACAAGATAAAAACAACATAAAACGAACCATAACTCTAAAGAATGAGTTTCCATGATTTCTCATGTTTTGAAAATAAATCCAACATACCCAAAACAAGTTAGAGGGGAAGAAGAGGAGTTAGAAACAAGAGGTTTACCTCTTCGCAAGCTCTAAGATGAGTCCTAAGGCTCCTTGCTCTTGAAAAGCTCCCTTCTCTCTCTTCTCTTCAAGTTCTAACCCTAAAATGTGTTTGGGGTTTCTAATTTTAAAGAGCAGTCGTCGGGTTCTCGCTCAAGCGAGCCCATTCTCGCTCAAGCGAGAATCTCACAGTAGCAATTTTCGCTTAACGCATAGATGTAATCGATTACATGGATTGTGTAATCGATTACATCGTGTAAAATGCACATATCTGATGCTTTTATCTGCATGTAATCGATTACATGTATTATGTAATCGATTACATCATGTAAAATGCATATATCTGATGCTTTTATCTGCATGTAATCGATTACATGTATTGTGTAATCGATTACATCATGTAAAATGCACATATCTGATGCTTTTATCTGCATGTAATCGATTACATGGACTGTGTAATCGATTACCCTGCCCAAAATTACCATTTCTCGCCCGGGTGATACAACTCTCGCTCAGGCGAGAATCCTCCAGTATAGCCCAAGATTTCACCCTCCCAGATGCACCTCTCTCGCTCAAGCGAGAATCTCTCGATCAAGCGAGGCTTCCAGGACTGATATTCTAATTTTTAAAGACTAAAATTCGGGGTGTTACACCATATCTTGAACCAAAACCTTAAGACATTAGTTTCATGGACTTTTTCTACTTATAAACTCTTTTACTCCTCCCCTCATATCCAATGTGGGACTTCACACTTTAACAAACCCAACAATCTCCCTCTCAAGTGTGGGTACCACACACTTTCTGGTTCGCTTCCCCTTAAGTCCACCATGTCACAGCCGAACCATCGACTCTGATACCACTTGTTGGACCAGACTGCGACCGGGGAACCTCCAGCCATCGAGAAGTTCCATTGTTACCGGGGTATGGGAAGAGTGGAGAGCCACAAGTGATGCACCACGTCTTGAACCAAAACCTTAAAGGCATTAGTTTCATGGGATTTTTCTACTTATAAACTCTTTTACTCCTCCCCGCATATCCAATGTGGGACTTCACACTTGAATAAACCCAACAATCTTCCCCTCAAGTGTGGGTACCACACACTTTCTGGTCCACTCCCGACATATGTTGTCATTTATCTTGTTTAACATAACTCTATTGGCAATAATGATTAAATTAATTATTATTTTTTGTAAATGGCTTCTATATATAAAAATATATAATTTCGAGTATGTAATAATTAAAAATCTTAATGGAATTTTTATAGCACAGTCATGGTTTGGGTCATCTCTAACTTCTTCCTTAGCATAAGGAGAAAGACTACGACCTGTGCAATCTCTACATTATTAATTCCAAATCAAACTACATTATTTATTAACAAATGAACCTTAATGGAATTTTTATACTATGATCATGGTTCTTGTTGTCTCTTACTTCTCATTTAATGTGATTAGAAGATCTACGACGAACACTATATATGTGTTATTAATTCCATTAAACTGATGTCATCATTTTTAAAATACTATCTTAATTCAATCAAACAAATCAACTAATTAACCATTTTGAATAAGGAGTGTGCAGTCTTTATTTCCCTATTGCACTAGGGATACATAGGAGCAAGATGAACTCTTGTCAGACACAATTATAAAACATATTTTGTTTTAAAAAATAGATTTTTTTATGGGTATAAAAGTCAAGGTGATTAGCGAGTGTACCGTTTTAATATGGGCGAACGAGTTGCTAATACCTTCCTCGTTTAATAATCGACTCCCGAGCTCAGAACTCAAGTTCAGAAGATCAAATTGTCCTAATTGGGCTTATTAGAAAGTTTTCTATATTTTATCCGCAAAAAACATAGTGACGACTCTAAATCATTCCGAAGAGGTCGAAATAGAGTTCGCCTCTTCCTAAGTTGCAGAGCTAGGTTTCCGCCGAAAATCGGATCAAGACACTTTCAAGTCTATCTACTAAACATACATTATAATGCAAACATATGTGTTGGAAAAGACTGTAGCCAGGGAGTCTCCAACCACCGGGGAGTTCCATTATTATAGGGGTATGGGAAGAGTGGAAGCCACAAGCGAGACATCACGTCTTGAACCAAAACCTTAAGATATTAGTTCCATGCGCCTTTTCTACTTATAAATTCTTTTACTCTTCCCTGCATATCCAATATGAGACTTCACACTTGAATAAACTCAACAATCTCCCCTCAAGTGTGGGTACCACACACTTTTCGGTCTGCCCCCTTTAAGTCCACAATGTTGTTGGACCAGAATGCGACCGATGAGCTTCCAACCACCGGAGAGTTCCATTGTTACCGGGGTATGGGAAGAGTGAAGAGCCACAAGTGAGATACCACGTCTTGAACCAAAACCTTAAGGCATTAGTTCCATGGGCCTTTTCTACTTATAAACTCTTTTACTCCTCCCCACATATCAAATGTGGGACTTCACACTTGAATAAGCCCAATAATCTCCCCCTCAAGCGTGGGTACCACGCACTTTCCGGTCCGTTCACCCTTAAACTCCACCATGTTCCAACCGAACCATTTACGGTCTGCCCCCCCTTAAGTCCACAATGTTGTTGGACCAGAATGCGACCAGGGAGCCTCCAACCACCGGAGAGTTCCATTGTTATCGGTTATGGGAAGAGTGGAGAGCCACAAGTGAGACACCACGTCTTGAACTAAAACCTTAAGACATTAGTTCCATGAGCCTTTTCTACCTATAAACTCTTTTACTCCTCCCCGCATATCAAATGTGAGCTTCACACTTGAATAAACCCAATAATCTCCCCCTCAAGCGTGGGTACCACGCACTTTCCGGTCCGCTCCCCCTTAAGTCCACTATGTCCCAACCGAACCATCGGCTGTGATACCACTTGTTGGACTAGACTGCGACTGGGGAACCTCCAACCACCGGAGTGTTCCATTGTTACTAGGGTATGAGAAGAGTGGAGAGCCACAAGTGAGACACCACGTCTTGAACCAAAACCTTAAGGCATTAGTTCCATGAACCTTTTCTACTTATAAACTCCTCCCCGCATATCCAATGTGGGACCTCACACTTGAATAAACCCAACGAATGTTTCAGCAGAAGCATCGGCTCTGATATCACTTATTGTACCAAACTGCGGCCAGAGAGCCTCCAACCACCGGGGAGTTCCATTTAGTAAAATTGAAGTACATCCAGGAAACACAGAAAGTCTAGAATGTGTCTAAGTCGTCTTCATCGCTGTAACCACGAATGCTAAACAACTGATCCATGATGTTACGGTTGCAAAAATTAATGTGAAATTATTATTCAACTCATATATCTTCAAATGTTAACAATAGTTGTCATTGATACAATCCCGACAACGACACATATAATTGATGCATCTCCCATTATAATACCATAAATAATTGCAAAAATCCTTACACTTTTTGTCATCAACACATTCGCTGGTTTCAACTATTTTGGTTGAATGCAAAACAAAATTGAAACAGTGTCAATGGAAGGTAATTAATAAATATTTATGAAAGGTAATGGAAGGAAATAGAAAATAAGTACGAAAAGGTGTACTCACTAAATGATGGACGAATAAAAAGGATGAAAGAAGAAGAAGAAGAACCCTAGGAGATAAACAAACTTGAGACTTTAACCATAGTTTTTCTTAGCTACTTGTAAACAACTAGAATAATTGGCCTAATCATTTACAAAGAAGGCATATTCAATTAAGAGGACTAATAGTTTGTAGCACTTTTTTTTATTGTAAGTTGCCCTTTACTTATATTGAAAACATTATTTATCTCATAATTATTAGATGCTCATGTTTGTTCATTAACTCACTAGAGTGATCACTTGATTTTAGTAATTTAATGTTAAGAAACTTACTTGTACAATGATTTATAAATGTTGCAAAACCATGTTTAAAGTTGTATTGTTTAATTTGAAAATTTAATTTTTACACAAAAATTACAAGTCCTTCATTATAATAAAATATTACACTACTGGTCAAGGAAGAAAGAAAATAGGAGGACCAGAGAATAATCAAAGTTGAGGGTTTTAACAATAATTTAGCTATCAACTTATAACAAAGTAGAATTGGTTTGAGTGCTTTGTGATGTAAATAGGAAAATTTGGCTAATAGACAAAAAGACCTTTCCGCAAAGCCAAAACTATTTACCACTTTGTACCTCACTCTACCTTCATCTGAAAATGTCCAAAAACTGATTCCAATACAAAATACCTCTAATTTGAGTAGAACGAGGAAATTGCAATGCTGTAGTTTTGAGCATGTAAGTCTCCTGCAACGATTCCATTTTGATAAACACTGTCATTATCAAAATAATTTTACAATTAAATACAATACAGAAGGTGTGAAGACATCAGGTTCGATCTCAATGACTCACATTATTTATCAATCTAAAGAAGAATAGAACACAAGTAACAAAAGAAAGGAGGTTGGCTGATTTGTTTGTTTGAAATTAAAGTAAGAATAATATTGAAGGATTTTAAATGAATTGAAGAAAAATGCAATCCTAAGGATATAACCATTCATAATTCAGCAGACCATCCTTGAGCATAAAATAAATATCAGATCTTTGTTATGAAATTCGTAGGTTTGGATCATAATTTAAGATTTTCGATTGGTGAGTCCTAATTCTTTACTAGACAATCGGCTAGAATTTGATCTATTCAAGTTAAAAATTGGCAATTGTCCTTTCAAATCACAAGAACAGTCTTAAATCATAACAATAGACAAGGAAAATAGGTCAAACACATGACTACTGTATGCCCATTTTTCTCAAATGAGCACACATCTCGATCAACCCCCTCTGAAGGTCTGTATAGGTATGTTAGTGACCCTTTCTACTCTCTAGATGCCCAAAATAGGCAAATGACCCTATTTGAGGATTATGCTCTTGAAATACACCGGATCTGCAAAATTCAATGGATTTTACAAAAGGGATTTGATATCCATAGCTCTTCCTATTCAAGGACTTACTAAGTTTTTTTCCAATTAAATTGCAATATCTAACCTAACCTTGTCAAGGAGTTTTATACAAATTTAAACAAACGAGGAAACACATGGGTTACTCTTGTGTTGGGTAATATGATTGTGCTCTGACAAGAAGTTTTTGAGCTAGCTTAGTGGGTTAACCTTCGATGATATGATGTCTACTGATTGTGGAAACAAGAATTGGTCTGGTTTTGACCATCTGCTAGTTTATAAATCTTATTTGTGTAACCATCTTACACATATTGAAGGTATGACCTTAGAGTTTGGTCATATGAAAGTAGGTGGCAGACTCACACACTACATCATTGTCTAGATCTTAATTCCAAAGATGCACAACTATGTCCTGCAATATATTCCCAACTTGAAGTACATGTATGCAATGAGGAATGAATATCTCATTCATTAGCTTGAAGTTATTTTGGAGAATGTGATAGCAATAAGAAATGAGGAAAATGTTAGACTAACATATTTCATTTCCATTTCCCGCTTCATTGGTTATTTTGGGATCAATGTAACTCGGCATGTTAGCTTCCAAACCTCTAAACAAATAAGTCGAAATACCAAAACTTAAACAAGATGAAGATAGGGTGATGGAAAATGGTATTAGAAGTGTGAACATGAAAGGATTGAAATTCATTGTAGTTATATCATTGAAGGAATGAATTTCATTAAAGATATTAGTCTATTTTCTAAGAATACATCATGGAAATTGAGTGTTTAGAGAAATTGAGTCAAGCAAATATTAGTCTATTTTCCACTATTGAATGAGTTTAACTTACAAGCAAAGTCACACCTAGACTCCCCCTAAGTTGTATCACTCACTCACTTCAACAAGATAGTACACCACTATCCTTGTTTTACAATGCCTCACCAAACCCTATGGTGATTACTTGAGTACAAGTATGAAGATAATAAATGGCTTAATGACAAACTCACAATGTATCTTAATGCCTTATGAAGTTTTTAGAATTCCAAAGAATATGAAAGTTTTTCTGAAAAACTTCAAAGTGTTCTTGAATAAAAACTCAGAAATTTGATTCAAGAACTTGGATTTTTGAGTATATAAGTTATATTATAATTCTGAGATCCTACAAGGTTTATATAGAGTTCCAAAAGGTGTTTAGAATCACTTTCAAAAGGTATAAGTCATTTGGGAAAAGTTGAACCAAGTTGGAACACAATGGTTCAATTTAAAAATCAGATTTTCGCAGTAACAGTACGTGGTAATCGATTACTTATCCGTGGTAATCGATTACTTGTTGAAAAACAACTGATACTGACGATTTTTTGCTTGTGGTAATCGATTACCAATATGAGGTAATCGATTATCTTAGTTGAAATTTCAAATCCAAAGTTGCTTAACGGCTAGTGGTAATCGATTACTTCCATAGGGTAATCGATTACCGTAGTTGAAATTTCATTTCCCAAAAATGCCGAGAGTTATGGTAATCGATTACTTACCCTGGTAATCGATTACTGTAATTAAATTTTGGATTTTAACTTTCAACACTAAGTGGTAATCGATTACTACTACAGGGTAATCGATTACCCTAGTTATTTTTGCTTTTTCCCAACTTTTCAAAAATAACTTGGTTTTTCTTAGGAACTCTTATATTAACCTAGATTAAGATCTTTATTCTTAAGGCATTGTGATTTCTTATGAGTTTGAAATATATGCTACTAAAAGACTAAGACTCTTATAAAAATAAAATATACTTCAAGTTCTTTAAGTCTTTGATCTTCAATAGCTTTTCTTCTTTCTTTTGGTGATATGCATTTGTCTTCATCAAAACCCAGCCTCGGTCAAGGAGCCAGATCATCTTCCCAATCTTCCCCTTTTTGATGTAGACAAATCACTATCGTTTGAAAGTTTGTTCTCAAAGTATAATTACACTCTTCTTGGCTGTATTTGCTGTGAAACATATGAAACAAATATACAAGCAAACTTTCCTAACAGTTTCTCCCCCTTTTGACTTCATCAAAAAGAAAGAGAAAAGTAGGGATTAACCAAGAATAATATAGTGTATTTGCATTTAAGCATAAACAGATTTATAAAAAAGTATATCATGCAAAAATGATATAAGATGATGCACACCAATTCTTATAAACATATTAAACAAATGAGACTTAATTGGTGTCTAATTCATCTAGGATTCCTAGTTCTCTTCTAAGTTTATAGAAGGAATCCTTAGGTAAAGGTTTAGTGAATATGTCGGCTAGTTGATCATGTGTATCAACAAATTCCATTTCAACATCCTTTTTGAGTACATGATCTCTAAGGAAATGGTGTCTAATATCTATGTGTTTGGTTCTTGAGTGCATAACGGGATTTTTTGTAAGGTTAATAGCACTAGTGTTGTCACATCTCAAGGGAATGAAACCTAGGTTTAAACCATAGTCGCGTAGTTGTTGTTTAAGCCAAAGTATTTGAGCACAACAACTTCCCGCTACGATATATTCAGCCTCAGCCGTGCTTAAGGCAACACAAGCTTGTTTCTTGCATGACCAAGAAACTAAGGCACTTCCTAATAAGTGACAAGTACCACTAGTACTTTTTCTATCCGTTTTGCAGCCCGCAAAATCTGAATCACTATATCCAACCAAATCACATAGTCTACCCTTTGGATACCATATTCCCACATCAATTGTTCCTTAAAGATATTTAATAATACGTTTGACATCAATTAGATGTGATTCCTTAGGTTTAGACTGAAATCTAGCACATAAACATACACTAAACATTATATCCGGTCTACTAGCAGTAAGATAAAGTAGTGATCTGATCATACCTCGATATTTAGTAATTTCAATGGATGTTCCAGCCTCATCAGCATCTAGGTATGTATTTGAACCCATGAGAGTAGCTATTGTTTTGTAGTCCTTCATGTCGAATCTTTCTATTAAAGCTTTGCAGTATTTGGACTGATTCACAAATATGCCATCTCTTGTTTGTTTGATTTGAAGTTCAAGAAAATAGTTCAACTTACCCATCATGGACATTTCAAATTCACCATGCATAAGTTTTGCAAAATCACTACACAAGGATTCATTAGTAGAACCGAAAATAACATCGTCTACATAAATTTGAACAAGTAAAGTATGATTATCTATTCTTTTAATAAAAAGAGTAGTATCTACTTTTCCTTTAATAAAGCCTTGTTCAATTAAGAAACTTGTTAGACGATCATACCAAGCACGAGGGGCTTGTTTTAAACCATAGAGAGCTTTCTTAAGTTTATACACATGAGAGAGATTTTTATAATCTTCAAAACCAGGGGGTTGTTCTACATATACCTCTTCTTGAATATAACCATTAAGAAAAGCACTCTTGACGTCCATTTGATATAATTGAAAATCTAATGAACATGCATAGGCTAGCAAAAGTCTAATTGCTTCAAGTCTAGCAACAAGAGCGAAAGTTTCATCAAAATCAATTCCTTCTTCTTGATTGTAGTCTTGAGCAACTAGTCTAGCTTTATTCCTAACATTTATACCATTCTCATCAGATTTATTTCTAAAAATCCAACGAGTTCCTATGACATGCCTATCACTAGGTCTAGGAACAAGTTCCCAAACTTGGTTTCTCTCAAATTGATTGAGCTCTTCTTGCATAGCAAGAATCCAATGCTCATCCTCAAAGGCATCATCTACCTTAGATGGTTCAATTTGAGATACAAATGCCATATTTAAGCATGCATCT